TGCACACTGGGAACATATACTGTAAGATGGGTAGTGTGTAGCTAGGTTTCCATCCAATTTGCGACAGATTTTAATGTGAATATTCTAAAATCTGCATAAAACAATATGCATTATCCCACCAGAGATGTGTTTCCATCAAACTGAATCATTGCGAATAAAAGGCTGTGCTTGATGACATAGTGCAAATAAAAATAACTTTTTTAAATTCCCATTTACCGAATGAAAAATATAAATTAAATGGATTTCCATCGCATTTTCAACTCTACTGATTGTTTTGTCACAAAAACTGTTGCATTATATAGCAAACGTGCCCACTCTGGTCTTGGCACATGCGCTCTAGCCAACAGCTCACAGATACAGTGCGGGTAGGTTACCTGCATTATGACATTATTATGGACAAGAGCGATATTCTTTATATTTGTCAAACGGCAGCCAAGCATCGATCATCATGTCACCAGAAATAAGATATTTATTGAAATGGAGCATCAAGCTCATGTGCACTTTCACCACCCTGTGGGAGGACCACAAGTTTACTCCAAGTGACTCCAAGTTTACTTCGATATGATGGTTATTATATATTTGCGCATAAAGGCATTTCCACCACGATTTCTCGCATGATTAATTTTACCGACACAAAAAGATCCCACCATGTCGAACTAACAAATTGTCTGTCTGGATTAATAATATTGTACCAGCATATTCTGTTTCGATCAGCCGGTCGTGACTTTTTTCATGCGTCAGGTAATCCATCCGCATGAAATGGTGTCAGCATTATGACAAACATTTTCCTGAAGGATATTTAATCAAAATATAACTTGAAATAGTTTAACCTGTCCCTGCTATCATGAGTTAAGTACCCACAAGCTCCATGCTATACTGTAATTAAACCAAGTTTAAAACAATAGTGAAGTAAAGAGTGCTGCCTACAGTATGTGGTAACCAATCATCTAAATACATAGATGTTCCCATCCATTCAACCTTGAGAGAGTCCGAGAGTTTAGGCCTACTTAGCCTTATTCTGTGCTTCATACCATACACACATTGTGAAAAATCTGGAATATTGACTCTTTGAACTGTAACCATAACGTATTTACTCTCTCTTAGACCAAAACAGATGTGAAATTCATAGTGTCAATTCTGTTGGATTTTGAACTGTATGTCCTTTGAGTAGATCTTATAGGCCTGATGTTACCTTATACCCTACAATCCCTGACTCTACATTCACTATTGAATACATCAAGATCAGTAGGCTAAAGTTGAAACTTTAAGGGCCGGTTTCTCTGACAGATTATGTCTAGTCCTGGACTAGAAAAAAAGCATGCTCAATGGAAAATCTCCATTGAAAGTGCTTTATAGTCCAGGTCTAGGCTTAATCTCTGTCCAACAAACCATCCCTAACCACTCAGTAATGCTACATTATTATTGTGAACAAAATTATTTTATGAGGGACAATAGCTATGCTCACATAGGCACACACAGGGGTTGTGTAGACATAACATAAAGGTAATATGTCGTTTATATTGAATGTTCTTTGGCACAGAAATTGTAGCACTCAAATCTTTAAGCTTACATAGACCAAGCACAGTGAATGATAAAGCATGTACACAACACCTAAAATCACACACACGTAATCCTCATAGCTGTGTTAACTCACCATTTCCCTGTTAATCCCTCTTTTGCTCCACCTCTCCAGAGGTGCAATCACTCCACTTCATCTTACAGGGATGAAAGGAGTAATGGTGACTGAGAAAGAAAGGAGAGAAAACAATTGGTTGAATCAGAGGGTGGCGGAGTGTGGACCTAAAATATATACCGCAAAAAGACAAAGAACGCGGAGAAATGGAGCATGTTTATTCAATCCCTTTCATTTCCAGGCATATGTCAAAAGCATATGAGAACGAGTAAAAAGCATATGAGAAAGAGAGACTCTAAGAAACACACCTGCTCCAAAAGGACACACACAGAATAGAGAACCATTTGTACAAACTGGCTGCTATTTCATCAGCCCCAAACAAAACTTAAGGTGTAATCATAATGATACAAAAGAAACTCAAAATTACCATCTTGGGTAAAGGCGAACACCAAGAAGGCAGAACCACTTTCCTTAAATGTATCCATAATGGAAAGAAAATGTTCTTTATTAATGTGTATGCTCCAAATTCACATGATTCTACGTTTTTTAAATTCTCTGAACAGCATATTGTTAGAATTAACTGAATTCCATCTGGTTATTGGGACAGACATTAATGACATGCTGGACAAATCTAATAAGACCAACTACAATTCACACGCAACCAAGGCTCTACAGCATATAATCTCTTATCACAACCTCATTGACACCTGGTGAGCACATAATCCTAAAGCAAAAGAGTACACTTTCTACTCAAACAGGCATAAATCATTTTCACGAATCGATTTCATACTATTATCTACACCTCGACATGCGTATGAGCTTGTCTTACCACCACGCTTACTACTGCCAACTTCAAATGTCAGAATCTCACAAGGTGGCGTTTCAATGTTTCATTACTACAAAATCCTACATTCTGTGATCAATTTGAAATTGAACTAAATTAATTCATAATGATCAATATAAATTCAGTTGATGACCACCGGATTCTATGTTTTTTTTTTATAATGCAACTGCATTTGCATCTGGGTTGAATAAATCACAATTATCCACCAATCGTTTCCCATTTGAAATATTTACATTTTAGTCATTTAGCAGACGCTCTTATCCAGAGCAAATTACAGTTAGTGAGTGCATACATTATTTTAATTTTTTTATACTGGCACCCCCATGGGAAACGAACCCACAACCTTGGCGTTGCAAACGCCATGCTCTACCAACTGAGCCAAATCCCTGCCGGCCATTCCCTCCCCTACCCTGGACGACTTGTGCGCCGCCCCATGGGTCTCCCGGTCACGGCCGGCTACGACAGAGCCTGGATTCGAACCAGGATCTCTAGTGGCACAGCTAGCACTGCGATGCAGTGCCTTAGACCACTGTGCCACTCGGGAGATTAGAGAGTAGATTTGGGAGTAGATATGTTTCCTTCATTAGATAAAACCATTGCCAGAAACTTTAACAGAACGCTCAAATCAATTCAATCTGACCTCAGCAGATGGAATAATATCTGAGTTGCATTAACCAGCAGAATATCTATTGTCAAAATGAATATATTGCCATGGCTGAATTGCTGTAGTTCAACGCTTCCCATGGCTCCCCCTTCTGGCTAATGGTTTAACATTAATTGTGCAGTTTCAACATTTATATGGCAAGGTAAATGATCGCAGATAAAATGTGTACATTTACAAAGAGGGAAAGACATAGGAGGACTATCTGTACCAAACTTTAATTAGTATTTCCAGACTCTAGCATTTCACCCCATCCTAAATTGGTTTAGACATGAGTCTTCTGCCCCCTGGCTGAGTTTAGAGAGAAATATGGCGTCTCCTATTGCCCTGGAAGAGGTGGTCTTCACTGATATATCCCTTAAACAATGTATGTAAATTATGTTTTGGTCCTATTATTGCTCACACAATTTCTATTTGGCGCAACATTTTTAAACAATGTAATTGGGAATCAAAATGGCATGCCCATACTCCAATATTTCACAATAATGCCTTGCGATCTGGAGGGCGGCCTTTTGCATCTCCCCAATGGTCCAAATGTGGAATCCATACCCTTACCGATATCATGGACAGTAAATATGACCTTGGCATCCCGTAATCCGAACCATCAATTTATACATTTTCAGTTTGTTCACAGACTGTATTTAGCGCCAAGGAAACGTTTTACGATGAAATTGGCCCCAACTCTAAACTGTCTAAATCAGGTGGGAACATTCCTTCATATGATGTGGGAGTGCCCTGCAGTTAAATGCTTCTGGGGAAAAGTAAAACAATTCTTTTTGAAATCCATTAAAATATCCAATGCTTTGCATTATGTTACTTAACGATGATAGCCCCCTCTGGTTGTTGTGGGGGTTTGCGGGGGAGATTTGGGGGAATCTAAGAGGAGACTCAGGGGATGGATGGGTGGGAGGGGGACTGATAAGCAACCTTGGTTGCTGGGTGGGATGGGAAGGGGTGGGAAGCATGCGTTCTTCAGGGCGGGAGAATGGGTTGGGGTTATCTTTGTATGCATTTATTTAAAAAAAAAAATGTTTTACCTGTAACCCCCCTCTGAAAAAGAAAAATGATGAAACTAAATAAAAAGTTGGTCACAAAAAAAGAAAGAGAATAAGAAAGAAAGGAAGTGTGTCAAATAAGAAAATACAACATTGAGTAAATTACAGAGAGTAATTGAAAACACACTTTAGAAGCAAACTAGCTAGACTGATCATTGTATAATGTCCAAACAGGGATTAACACACTTTTTGTGTGAGTGTTTGGAGTTAAGTAACAATAACGACTGTTTAGTTACAGCTAATAAAGTTAATGAATAGTTGGTGGGGGAGGTAGTAAATACTTTATTGTTCAAAATTCAAGTAGCAGGTCTGGCTAATGGTTAACCACAATCAAAGTGAATGATCATTATAGGGGCTGGCCAGATAGCTAGAACAGGGACGGATCAGGAAAGAAAGGTGTGAACTGTTCTCACTGCTCTCCCTTTCTGGGTGTTTGCCTACATAAGCTCAGTGGGGTTACCCACCAGCGTTTGGCCATCGCAACGCAGCACCAATGTAAAGTAGTCCAAAAACCTTGGCCGGAGGCCGAACTGAATTTTAAGTGACTGCTGTCCCATTTGTGTGTCTTTGCACATTACTCTCCCTCTTCCCTTGCTCTTTCTCTCCATCTGTCAGTGTGACTGGGGGGAGTTTGTTTAGCCAACTACAGCACAAGCCCCCTCTTTTCTCTCCTGAGGGGCTTCGGGACAAAATGTCTTATCCCCCTGTGTCTCCTCATGGGTAAAAGCCCGCCCCGTCCCCCCGCCCCTATATAAGAGCCGGTGAGGGAGAGATGATAAGAAGTTAGTCTTGGGACAAGCTCGGACCATGCAGTGTAAAGTCCTTCTCTGCCTCTATTTCCTGACAATCATAAAGTATGGTGAGTATTGTGCCATTGCCCTCACACTCATGATAACAAACAAGCCACATTCATTTGCACGTTTGTCCTGGTTTCACATTCAACCCAGGTGACTCTATCTGAGAGTATGGCTTTGTATGAGTTCAACTATATGAGAGTGTGGCTTTGTATGCATTCAACTATCTCAGATAGCTGAATGATTGCTGTAATGTTGTTTTCTGATAGTGTCAATAGCAGTAGTAATAGTGAAATGAGGATTGGTTTTAGGTGTTAGACCGTTATTCTGGTAAGCATTGGATTTACATTATGTTAGTATGCAGGTAAAACTTAAGTGTTGGTCATTTTGTTTATGGAGAATTCTAAGGTTTATATGTCAGACATTGGATAGTTTTTTGCTCAACACCTAATATTGACAGTTGTCGGACTAGGATACAGCACATGCCTACAGTACGGTGGTGAATGAACATGCGTAGTTGCACATTATAGAGAATATATTAATTATTGCTTTTACTATGTGCATATATAATTACTGTTTGTTGGTAACCATTTAATTTTTCTTTAAATGTGATACATGTGAAATAGTTCTTTTAAAATTAATTAAAAGGCACAATCCAAAGTCTTTCAGCCAAAAGGCAGTCCTGCCACTTGGTTTGCTACAAAGCTAATGGATGGGGTTGGAGAAATTTTACCACTTTCTGATTAATAGATGGAGCTATGATGCAAGGACTGACCACTGTCCATGAGATCAACATGTTTAAGCTAGACATTGTCAGTGGCGTGTATTCATGGTAAAAAACACATTTCCGTCTCTCTTCCGTCTCTCCATCATTTTCCTTCAATTCACAAGAGACTGAATATATCTCACTGGAGAAAGTTCAGAGCGAATGAAACAGCGCCTCTCCGTCTCTTTATGTGTAGCCCATCTATCTGATGCTGTCTGGTCAAAAGGTGTATGATATTGTTGCTGCCCGTAGCATTGAATACAAAGGAAGCCAGCAAGCATTTGGCCCCTCTTGATAAAACATTTAAAATAATAATAATAGCCAATCAGCGTTGAGCTAAACTGAGTGAGCTCAACTGTAAATGGTCCTGGCGCATCAACAAAAAAAAAGTGTCAAGGGAAGCCAGTTTGGATTTGGAGAAATATTTCAATTGTTGCATCTCGTTGTGTTGTTGTCCTCTGGTGGCTATAGCTAGCTAGCTAGCTAAAATTGTCCCTTTCCTAAATTAGCCATGGATGGAGATAGGGATTTGAACTTGTGGTTTTACTTAATTCTCCGTACTGGCAAATTATTATAACGGCGATTCTGATCCAACCATAAATTCGTACATTGTGCCCCTTGCCTAAGAGGATGGACGTTCAATATGTAGCTAGATGTAGTAGGCTGATGTTAACTAGCTGGTTCATCGTTGCCCATGAAAGGAAGTTAGGCTAGCGAGCAAGCATTTTAGCCAGGTAGCCTAGAACAACAAAAACTAAAAGCGTGTACTGTATGACAGTTATAGACCGTTTCAGCAACATAAAAAAGAGGAGGATGGCATTGGCGCTTTTTTGTTAAGGGCCCTGGATCGCTATTGTTTCACTTTGCCAGAATGAGCTGCAGAAGATCCTGAAAAAAACTATTTGTGTTTCCATCTATGCTCATAAGTGCTTAGGGTTAATCACAGACTCTTGAACTTGCCGAGTACAGTGTATTTGTAATGCCTTATCATCTTGTCACTTGTCTTCCACTTCTTACCATGCTCATTCATCTGCATAGCTTGTTTGAATGCTTCTTGTGCTGTGTATTAGGCCTCTCACTATTGTTTCATGTTGCCAGAATGAGCTGCAAAATATTCTGAAACAAACTTAATTGTGTTTCCATCTATGCTCATAGGTGGCCTGCAGGCAAACAACATCACACAACGTTGAATGTACATTGATATTGTATTGTATTATCAACTGAATAAATTAAATTAAACCAACAAAAAACACAACTAAATGTGCATGTTGAAACTATTGTACTTGCCTGGTACAAAGACGTACAGTACTTGCCTGGTATTTGCTTTTTGCAATGCCTGATCATCTTTCCTCATCTTACACTTCTTACCGTGATCAAACATTTGCATTTCTTGTTTGAATTATTATTGTACTGTTTTATTTCATTGCTGTGTATTAGGCTGCTATGAAGGCCAGGACGTTATTGTAAATGAGAGCATGCCTTGCCTATTTTAAGAATGGTTGTGTCACGACTTCCTCCGAAGCTGCCTCCTCTCCTTGTTCGGGCAGGCTTCGGCGCTCGTCGTCACCGGCCTTCTAGCCACTGCCGCTTCTCATCTCATCATTCCATTTGTTTTGTCTTGTTTTTACACACACCTGGTTCATATCCCCTCATCAGTACATGTATAAGTATTCCCTCTGCCCCCCATGTCTTTGTGTGTGATTGTTTATTGTGGAGGTGACGATAGCTCGGTGGAGCTTTATATATTTGTATCGCCGGGATATTCACCCGTGTGCTTTGTTTTCTCCAGTGCGCCGTTATACCGCACCGTAGTGTTTTATGCATTGCTGTGTACCGCTGTATTTGCCGAATAAACCATTTATTCCGTGATTTACCCTCCTGCACCTGACTCCGTCCAAATCACCTGCAACAGGTTGATTAAACAATTCTGCATTTACATAGTGAATATTAAAGATTACAAGTACACACAATTACACACATTGTTACAGATACTCCAAAAGCACAATATCAACAGTCATATCACAATGTAATCTTGTTTTTCTCTATCCACCTCCCTAAAAATGTTTTCTTAGAGAATAGTATTGTATTAGAATAGTTCAGAATAGTTTTTTCAGAATATTTTTCAGATTATTCTTTACTTTTTAGAAAGATGTAGCAATTCTATCTCACATCTTGAGGTTTCACTCATAATTCAAATTCAAAACCATGTTTACTGGGATAGTTTATGCATCAATTATTCTGTTTGTTGTCACTAATTACCTATCTTGTCGTCTACCTTCTTACAGGTCAGACACTGATCTTACGTGTCTTAGGGTCCACTAATCAGATCTTTCTTTTTATCAAGATTCCTACTACACAGTGCATTCGGAAAGTATTCAGACCCCTTCCCTTTTTCCACATTTTGTTACGTTACAGCCTTATTCTAAAATTGATTAAATAATTTTTTTCCTCATCAATCTACACACAATACCCCATAATGACATCTTAGCAAATCTAGATAATAATACAAAATAAAAAAACGTATTTACATAAGTATTCAGACCCTTTGCTATGAGACACGAAATTGAGCTCAGGTGCATCTTGTTTCCATTGATCATCCTTGAGATGTTTCTACAACTTGATTGTAGTCCACCTGTGGGACATGCAGTTGATTGCATAGGATTTGGAAATGCACACACCTGTCTATATAAGGTCCGACAGTTGACAGTGCATGTCAGAGCAAAACCAAGCTATGAGGTCGAAGGAATTATCCGTAGAGCTCCGAGACAGGATTGTTTCGAGGCACAGATCTGGGGAAGGGTACCAAGAACACAGTGGCCTCCATCATTCTTAAATGGATGAAGTTTGGAACCACCAAGACACTTCCTAGAGCTGGCCGCTTGGCTAAACTGAGCAATCGGGGGAGAAGGGCCTTGGTCAAGGAGGTGACCAGGAACCCGATGGTCACTCTGACAAATATCCAGAGATCCTCTGTAGAGATGGGAGAACCATCCAGAAGGACAACCATCTCTGCAGCCCTCCACCAATCAGGCCTTTATGGTAGAGTAGCCAGACAGAAGTCACTCCTCAGTAAAAGGCACATGACAGCATGCTTTGAGTTTGTCAAAAGGCACCAAAAGGACTCGGACCATGAGAAACAAGATTCTCTGGTCTGATGAAACCAAGATTTAACTCTTTGGCCTGAATGCCCGTCTATAGGAAACCTGGCACCATCCTTACGGTGAAGCATGGTGGTGGCAGCATCATGCTATGGGGATGTTTTTCAACTGCAGGGTCTGGGAGACTAGTCAGGATCGAGGGAAAGATGGACGAAGCAAAGTACAAAGAGATCCTTGATGAAAACCTGCTCCAGAGCGCTCAGGACCTCAGACTGGGGTGAAGGTTCACCTTCCAACAGGACAACGACCCTAAGCACACATCCAAGACAACGCAGGAGTGGCTTCGGAACATCTCTGGAGAGACCTGAAAATAGCTGTCCCCATTCAACCTGACAGAGCTTGAGAGGATCTGCAGAGAAGAATGGGAGAAACTCCCCAAATACAGGTGTGCCAAGCTTGTAGCGTCATACCCAAGAAGACTCAAGGCTGTAATCGCTGCCAAAGGTGCTTCAACAAAGTACTGAGTAAAGGGTCTGAATACTTATGATATTTATTTAAAATGTATTTTATACATTTGCAATCATTTCTAAAAACCTGTTTTTGCTTCATCATTATGGGGTATTGTGTGTAGATTGATGAGGATGTTTTTTTCCCAATCAATTTTAGAATAAGGTTGTAACATAACAAATTGTGGAAAAAGTCAAGGGGTCTGAATACTTTCCGAATGCACTGTACATATGCCTTTTAGTAGGCACTTTTATCTAAAGCGATTTACGGTAGTGCACAAATACATTTTCGAATGGGTGGCCCCAGTGGGAATCGAATCCACAACCCTACCAACTAAGCCACACAGCCCTATGTTATTTTTCTCTCTCCTCTCCTCTCCTTCTGCTCTCTTGGTCCCTCCACCCATCATCCATCCATCATTCTGAAAGTTGTGCTAATATCAACACTTCACCTTCTCCTTGAGGATCAAACTTCAAACTTTCCATGGCTTGCCTTTAATCTTATCGACAAATATTTATAGTGCTGGTTATTGATTAAGCTGATATAATAATAGGGCACCAACCTGACCAGTGTTCCTGTAGTGGAACATTGTCTCCCAAGCCTTCGTATTGTATTTACCCTAGCTATATTTAACCTATATATATAGCATTCCGCAAAATTGAGGCTAAATTGACCTTTTGAGAGGGATGCTGGTCAGTGAGAAGAAAGTCTGGAAAGAAAGTTTGAAGTGGAATTTCACCAACCCTCCTCAACTTAACGGTTTAGATTTGTGTGTTGTGAAATTGCATTAATGTACAGTGGGGAAAAAAGTATTTAGTCAGCCACCAATTGTGCAAGTTCTCCTACTTAAAAAGATGAGAGAGACCTGTAATTTTCATCATAGGTACACGTCAACTATGACAGACAAATTGAGAAAAAAATATCCAGAAAATCACATTGTAGGATTGTTAATGAATTTATTTGCAAATTATGGTGGAAAATAAGTATTTGGTCACCTACAAACAAGCAAGATTTCTGGCTCTCACAGACCTGTAACTTCTTCTTTAAGAGGCTCCTCTGTTCTCCACTCGTTACCTGTATTAATGGCACCTGTTTGAACTTGTTATCAGTATAAAAGACACCTGTCCACAACCTCAAACAGTCACACTCCAAACTCCACTATGGCCAAGACCAAAGAGCTGTCAAAGGACACCAGAAACAAAATTGTAGACCTGCACCAGGCTGGGAAGACCGCATCTTGGTTTGAAGAAATCAACTGTGGGAGCAATTATTAGGAAATGGAAGACATACAAGACCACTGATAATCTCCCTCGATCTGGGGCTCCACGCAAGATCTCACCCCGTGGGGTCAAAATGATCACAAGAACGGTGAGCAAAAATCCCAGAACCACACGGGGGGACCTAGTGAATGACCTGCAGAGAGCTGCGACCAAAGTAACAAAGCCTACCATCAGTAACACACTACGCCGCCAGGGACTCAAATCCTGCAGTGCCAGATGTGTCCCCCTGCTTAAGCCAGTACATGTCCAGGCCCGTCTGAAGTTTGCTAGAGTGCATTTGGATGATCCAGAAGAGGATTGGGAGAATGTCATATGGTCAGATGAAACCAAAATATAACTTTTTGGTAAAAACTCAACTCGTCGTGTTTGGAGGACAAAGAATGCTGAGTTGCATCCAAAGAACACCATACCTACTGTGAAGCATGGGGGTGGAAACATCATGCTTTGGGGCTGTTTTTCTGCAAAGGGACCAGGACGACTGATCCGTGTAAAGGAAAGAATGAATGGGGCCATGTATCATGAGATTTTGAGTGAAAACCTCCTTCCATCAGCAAGGGCATTGAAGATGAAACGTGGCTGGGTCTTTCAGCATGACAATGATCCCAAACACACCGCCTTGGCAACAAAGGAGTGGCTTCGTAAGAAGCATTTCAAGGTCCTGGAGTGGCCTAGCCAGTCTCCAGATCTCAACCCCATAGAAAATCTTTGGAGGGAGTTGAAAGTCTGTGTTGCCCAGCGACAGCCCCAAAACATCACTGCTCTAGAGGAGATCTGCATGGAGGAATGGGCCAAAATACCAGCAACAGTGTGTGAAAACCTTGTGAAGACTTACAGAAAACGTTTGACCTGTGTCATTGCCAAGAAAGGGTATATAACAAAGTATTGAGAAACTTTTGTTATTGACCAAATACTTATTTTCCACCATAATTTGCAAATAAATTCATTAAAATCCTACAATGTGATTTTCTGGATTTTTTTTCCTCATTTTGTCTGTCATAGTTGACGTGTACCTATGATGAAAATTACAGGCCTCTCTCATCTTTTTAAGTGGGAGAACTTGCACAATTGGTGGCTGACTAAATACTTTTTTGCCCCACTGAACTGTAGGCCTAGTATGTGTTCAAAGCCAATGGGAATGCATGCTTTTCACAACAATTATTTGCTGTTCTAACATTGTGTTGTAAGTTCTCTTTTTTATCTCTGTTATCTGTATTTCTCATGAAATTCCACTCGTGGAACAAGCAACAGTCAGGAATTTAATCTGCCATAGGATACATACAGTGGGGAGAACAAGTATTTGATACACTGCCGATTTTGCAGGTTTTCCTACTTACAAAGCAGGTAGAGGTCTGTAATTTTTATCATAGGTACACTTCAACTGTGAGAGACGGAATCTAAAACAAAAATCCAGAAAATCACATTGTATGATTTTAAAGTAATTATTTTGCATTTTATTGCATGACATAAGTGTTTGATCTCCTACCAACCAGTAAGAATTCCAGCTCTCACAGACCTGTTAGTTTTTCTTTAAGAAGCCCTCCTGTTCTCCATTCATTACCTGTATTAACTGCACCTGTTTGAACTCGTTATCTGTATAAAAGACACCTGTCCACACACTCAATCAAACAGACTCCAACCTCTCCACAATGGCCAAGACCAGAGAGCTGTGTAAGGACATCAGGGATAAAATTGTAGACCTGCACAAGGCTGGGATGGGCTACAGGACAATAGGCAAGCAGCTTGGTGAGAAGGCAACAACTGTTGGCGCAATTATTAGAAAATGGAAGAAGTTCAAGATGACGGTCAATCACACTCGGTCTGGGGCTCCATGCAAGATCTCACCTCATGGGGCATCAATGATCATGAGGAAGGTGAGGGAAAAACCATTAGTAACACACTACGCCGTCATGGATTAAAATCCTGCAGTGCACGCAAGGTCCCCCTGCTCAAGCCAGCGCATGTCCAGGCCCGTCTGAAGTTTGCCAATGACCATCTGGATGATCCAGAGGAGGAATGGGAGAAGGTCATGTGGTCTGATGAGACAGAAATTGAGCTTTTTGGTCTAAACTCCACTCGCCGTGTTTGGAGGAAGAAGAAGGATGAGTACAACCCCAAGAACACCATCCCAACCATGAAGCATGGAGGTGGAAACATCATTCTTTGGGGATGCTTTTCTGCAAAGGGGACAGGACGACTGCACCGTATTGAGGGGAGGATGGATGGGGCCATGTATCGCGAGATCTTGGCCAACAACCTCCTTACCTCAGTAAGAGCATTGAAGATGGGTCGTGGCTGGGTCTTCCAGCATGACAACGACCCGAAACACACAGCCAGGGCAACTAAGGAGTGGCTCCATAAGAAGCATCTCAAGTTCCTGGAATGGCCTAGCCAGTCTCCAGACCTGAACCCAATAGAAAATCTTTGGAGAGAGCTGAAAGTCCGTATTGCCCAGCGACAGCCCCGAAACCTGAAGGATCTGGAGAAGGTCTGTATGGAGGAGTGGGCCAAAATCCCTGCTGCAGTGTGTGCAAACCTGGTCAAGACCTACAGGAAACGTATGGTCTCTGTAATTGCAAACAAAGGTTTCTGTACCAAATATTAAGTTCTGCTTTTCTGATGTATCAAATACTTATGTCATGCAATAAAATGCAAATTAATTACTTAAAAATCATACAATGTGATTTTCTGGATTTTTGTTTTAGATTCCATCTCTCACAGTTGAAGTGTACCTATGATAAAAATTACAGACCTCTACATGCTTTGTAAGTAGGAAAACCTGCAAAAGCGGCAGTGTATCAAATACTTGTTCCCCCCACTGTATATACACCACTGATATTTTCTCTTTTTTTCACTCTTTCTTTCAGTCTCCCCAACTGATGTTTGGGTCCGGCCATATGCGTCTGCCCTTCTCCCCTGTTCTATCTCAGTCCCTCCTGTAGACGACTCTCTCCTGGGGGTCAGTTGGACCTCCAATGGATTCCATATAGCCTCCTTCGGGACGACAGATGACAACCATGTCGACAAAGGCTTCAATTGGGACACCAGTTTATTTGTCAATGGGACCTTCTCTCTGACTGTGCTTAATGCCACTCTTGACCAACAGGGCGTGTATGAGTGTAAAGTCAGTTACAACATCTCCGAGCTACACTCCAGCAATGTCACGTTGGGCATCAAAGGTAAGTCTTTCGTAGTCCTTTAAGTTTTAAATTAGGTCTATGGCCCTGCTTAAATACAACCTCTCTTCCACACTTCCGTGACGTAATGAATGATCTAACATGGTTGGATAGGTAAAAACATGAGATCCTCTTCACAGCTTTCACCAATCCAATAACATCCACTAAAGGGAGAAAGGAAAGGATGCCATTTAGTCGTTTCTAATTTGTAGTTGTTCTCTCATGTGACCTTCATGTATCCAGTTCTCTCAGACAAGTAAGGGCAACAGGTAGGATCTAATAGATGATGGGAAGTTAAGTTAACAAATTGGGACACAACTGATTATGTGAATCTGAACGCTTCACCATAAAATCAAATAAATGAATCTCTCTATCTCATTCTTAGTTCCACCCACTCTCTCCATTCCCTCCACGGTGGTTGTGCTGGACGTGGAGAGTGAGCTTCAGTGTATTGCAGAGGGTTTTAGCCCTCCACTCATCTACTTCTCCTGGACCAGAGCTGGGGAGGTGGTCCAGCTAGAGCAAGCGGTCACAGCGGTCGACCGCACCCCAGAAGGGACCTACTGGGTGGTCAACATCTTGAAATTCATCCCTTTGGTGGACGACCAGAATGTGATCTATGGCTGTGTGGTCACTCATGCCGCCCTGGACAAACTGCTGAGCTTAGAGTTTCAACTCAGCTTTGTCTGTAAGTGTCAACTTTTTCAATTCATTACTATCATTTTGTTAATACAATACATGGTTATCAACATGATACAACGTTTTCAGATTTTTTATATGGGTTAGAAGTTCATTGAACTTTTTAGAATGTTCTCACTAACCACGTTTCCTTCTGCAGATCATTTCTTCGTTCGACATCGTAGGATCTTTTTGTGTCAGTAAAATTAATAATGCGAGAAATGACAGTGGAAATGCCTTTATGCACTAATATTGATATAATAACCATCATATCGAAGAAAACTTGGAGTCACGAGATGATATGGTGTGTGGTCCACCCACTACGACTTGGGAAACCATGCAGTTTAAATTAGGCTACAGATTAAATAAGTTATGATGGAACTTCACAGCGTGGGGAAAATGCAATGTATGAGCTTGATGCTTCTTTCCAATAAATATCGAAGGTCTTATTCTGGTGAAAACATTCTCGCTCTTATCCATAATCCCATCATAAAACCACACAGACTACAAACACTGTATCTGAGAGCTGTTGGCTAGAGCACAAGTGCCAAGACCAGAGTAGGCACATTTTATATTAACGGAACAGTAGAGTTGAAGATGCAATGGAAACACATTGAACATGAGATTTTTATTCGGTACATGAAAACTTAAGTGAAAAAGTTAATTTTGTGTGCACTATGTCATCACACACTGATTTTTATCTGCAACAAGTCAGTTTGGTGGAAACACCACTGGTGGGAAAATGTGCATGTTTTCTTTTTGCGTATTTTTGAATATTCGCATAAAAATATGTCGCCAATTGGATGGAAACCTAGCTACTAACCAGGTTTCCATCCAACCTTTATATGTGAGTAAAGTACATGACAGGCCTGATGGAAACAGAAAACATATTTCAGTAAACTTTCCAAATGTCGAGAAAACAAAACTATCTACACAATGTTAGATCTTTTTGTGTCGGTAAAAGGAATTATGTGAGAAAACGTTTAGGTGGAAACACTTTTATGTGCAAATATTGATATAATAACCATCATATCAATGTAAACTTGGAGTCATGCGATGACGTTGTGTGGTCCTCCCATTACGACTTGTCGGGAAAGCATCCAGTTTATTGAAATCCACTTATTCCTTTAATTGAACATGTACAGCAGAAAAACACCCCCAAAGCATAATGTTTCCACCTCCATGTTTGACGGTGGGGATGGTGTTCTTGAGGTCATAGGCAGCATTCCTCCTCCTCCAAACACGGCGAGTTGAGTTGATGCCAAAGAGCTCGATTTTGGTCTCATCTGACCACAACACTTTCACCCAGTTCTCCTCTGAATCATTCAGATGTTCATTAGCAAACTTCAGACGGCCCTGTATATGTGCTTTCTTGAGCAGGGGGACCTTGCGGGCGCTGCAGGATTTCAGTCCTTCACGGCGTAGTGTGTTACCAATTGTTTTCTTGGTGACTATGGTCCCAGCTGCCTTGAGATCATTGACAAGATCCTCCCGTGTAGTTCTGGGCTGATTCCTCACCGTTCTCATGATCATTGATGCCCCATGAGGTGAGATCTTGCATGGAGCCCCAGACCGAGTGTGATTGACCGTCATCTTGAACTTCTTCCATTTTCTAATAATTGCGCCAACAGTTGTTGCCTTCTCACCAAGCTGCTTGCCTATTGTCCTGTAGCCCATCCCAGCCTTGTGCAGGTCTACAATTTTATCCCTGATGTCCTTACACAGCTCTCTGGTCTTGGCCATTGTGGAGAGGTTGGAGTCTGTTTGATTGAGTGTGTGGACAGGTGTCTTTTATACAGGTAACGAGTTCAAACAGGTGCAGTTAATACAGGTAATGAGTGGAGAACAGGAGGGCTTCTTAAAGAAAACTAACAGGTCTGTGAGAGCCGGAATTCTTACTGGTTGGTAGGTGATCAAATACTTATGTCATGCAATAAAATGCAAAATAATTACTTAAAAATCATACAATGTGTTTTTCTGGATTTTTGTTTTAGATTCCGTCTGTCTCTCACAGTTGAAGTGTACCTATGATAAAAATTACAGACCTCTACATGCTTTGTAAGTAGGAAAACCTGCAAAATCGGCAGTGTATCAAATACTTGTTCTCCCCACTGTAGGTACAGCAGATCCCCTTATTGTATGGGACACTTTTAAATGTGCCTTTAGAGGCCATGCAATTCAGTACTCATCTCTAAAATAAAAGGTAATTAGGTCAAAAGAGTCCATATTAACAAAGGAAATAGAAGGACTAACAGCACAGATAGATAGCAATAAAAACTGTACCATAGAGGCTCAGAATAAGTTAGAGGAAAAACAAAAAGAAATGGAGGAACTTATTCAAGAAAGATCAAGTGTAATGTATTATAAAAATAAAGCGAACTGGATGGAATATGGGGAAAAATACACCTTTTTATTTTTTAATCTTCAACATAGAAATGCTACCAAAAAGAATTTACTGAAACTTGTTACAAATGACGGAGTCACCCATGATTCACCAAACAATATTTTGAAAGAGGAAGCAAAGTACTTTAAGCATATGTTTTCATTTCAGTCTCCTCCATCTCCACTAACCGAAGCAAATTGTATGAATTTGTTTTCTATTAATAATATGAAATTGACAGCTGTACAGAAAGACTCATGTGAAGGCCAAATTACAGAGGAAGAACTTCTTGATGCAATTAAAGCCCTTAAATCCGGGAAAACTCCAGGGCTGGATGGCATATCAGTGGAGGTATACCAAACCTTTTATGATATACTCAGAGGACCGTTATTAATATGTTTTAACCACTCCTATATAAATGGTAGATTATTAGACACTTAACAAGAAGGTCTGACTTCATTAGTACTTAAACAGGATCCAAGTTGTAAATATAAAGATCCAGTCCATTGAAGAAAATTGGAGGCCTCTTACACTTCAGTGTTGTGATGAAAAACCTCTAGCAAAATGCATAGCGCATAGAATTCAAAAGGTATTGTCAGATATTATTCATCCTTATCAAACAGGTTTTTTACATTGGAGATAATATAAGTCAAGTACTGGAAACAATAGAACACTATGAAAAATATGGGAAACCAGGCCTGGTATTCATAGCTGACTTTGAAAAGGCTTTTGATAAAGTACGACTGGAGTTTATATATAAATGCCTGGAATATTTCAATTTAGGAGAATCTCTTATAAAATGGGTTAAAGTTATGTATAGTAACCCTAGGTGTAAAATATAAAATAATGGCTCCTTCTCAGAAAGTTTTAAACTATCAAGAGGAGTAAAACAAAGTCGTCCACTATCAGCATATCTATTTATTATTGCTATTGAAATGTTAGCTGTTAAAATCTGATCCAACAATAATATAAAGGGATTAGAAATCCAGGTCTTAAAAGCAAAGGTGTCATTGTATGCTGATGATTGATGTTTTCTTTTAAATCCACAATTTGGATCCCTCCACAGCCTCATAGAGGATCTAGATACTTCTAACCTCTCTGGATTACAACCAAATTATGATAAGTGTACTATATTACGTATTGGATCACTAAAAAATATAACTTTTACATTACCGTGTAGTTTACTAATAAAATGGTCTGACTGTGATGTGGACATACTCGGTATACATATCCCGAAAGAAAGAAATGATCTTACTCCAATACATTTTAATAGAAAGTTAGCAAAAATAGATAAGATCTTGCTACCATGGAAAGGAAAATACCTGTCTATTTGTGGAAAAATCATCCTGATTAACTCTTTAGTCATATCCCGGTTTACCTATTTGCTTATGGTCTTGCCTACACCTAGCGACCTGTTTTTAAAAATGATATGAGCAAAAAAGATTCAATTTTATTTGGAATGGCAAGCCAGACAAAATGAAAAGGGCCTATTTATATAATGAATATAAATTCGGAGGGCAGAAATTCTTAAATATTAAAGCATTAGACCTATCACTAAAATCTTCAGTCATACAAAAGTTATAATTAAATTAGTAAGAATGTCTCACCCAATGTTCAAGAATGGCCTTTTTCCCTTGATTTAGATTACAAACTCTCACTTTCAGTTATTTGAAAAGGAAATCATCTCCCAAATATCACTATTTATGAAAAATGTATGCACTCACTAACTGTAAGTCGCTCTGGATAAGAGCGTCTGCTAAATGACTAAAATGTAAAATGTAAATGTATTTCTAAAACAAGCCATAGAAAGTTGGTTGCAATTTCAATTTAATCCTCCAGAAATGACAGAACAAATAATGCAACAAATATTGTGGTTAAACTCAAATATACTAATTGATTTTTAAAAAACATTTTTTTGGGACAAAATGTTTAAAAAAGGTACAGTGAGGGAAACAAGTATTTGATCCCCTGCTGCTTTTGTATGTTTGCCCACTGACAAAGAAATGATCAGTCTATCATTTTAATGGTAGGTTTATTTGAACAGTGAGGGACAGAATAACAACAAAAATATCCAGAAAAACGCATGTCAAAAATGTTATAAATTGATTTGAATTTTAATGAGGGAAATAAGTATTTGACCCCCTCTCAATCAGAAAGTTTTCTGGCTCCCAGGTGTCTTTTATACAGGTAACGAGCTGAGATCAGGAGCACACTCTTAAAGGGAGTGCTCCTAATCTCAGCTTGTTACCTGTATAAGAGACACCTGTCCACAGAAGCAATCAATCAATCAGATTCCAAACTCTCTACCATGGCCAAGACCAAAGAGCTCTCCAAGGATGTCAGGGACAAGATTGTAGACCTACACAAGGCTGGAATGGGCTACAAGACCATCGCCAAGCAGCTTGGTGAGAAGGTGACAACAGTTGGTGCGATTATTCGCAAATGGAAGAAACACAAAAGAACTGTCAATCTCCCTCGGCCTGGGGCTCCATGCAAGAGCTCACCTCGTGGAGTTGCAATGATCATGAGAACGGTGAGGAATCAGCCCAGAACTACACGGGACGATCTTGTCAATGATCTCAAGGCAGCTGGGACCATAGTCACCAAGAAAACAATTGGTAACACACTACGCTGTGAAGGACTGAAATCCTGCAGCGCCCGATTTTTGACGTACCGATTCCATGGCATAGTGTTTATGAACTGATACGCAAAACGACGCCGGATTCAAAACTTATAATTTTTCAATTGAAATTATTATATAAAATTCTTGCTACCAATAGAATGTTATTTATATGGGGGATACAATCTTCCCAGCTCTGCAGATTTTGCTGCGAAGAGACAAAATCATTAGATCATTTGTTTTGGTACTGTCCATTTGTAGCTTGTTTTTGGACACAGGTCCAGGAATGGCTAAAGGATTGCAATATTTACCTGGAGCTAACCCTGCAGATAGCATTACTGGGTGATCTGAAAAGTAATAGTCAATCGATCAATAATATAATAATACTTTTAGCAAAAATGTTTATTTTCAATTTATAATCTGTAGAAACAATGAGAATAGAAAGGTTCAGAACTTTTGTAAAACATCACAGTACAGTTGAAAAATATATGGCAAATAGAAATCCAATATGGATGGTATTAATAGATAGATGGGTGGTGTTGAATGGAGTTGAAGGATGGGACTAATAACAACAACTAATAACAACAAGATAACTAATAATGTAAGCAGACTGTGTCCATAATAAGTATATAGGTTATAGGTTGAGAGCTTTTGTGAAAGAGCACAGTTAGAAAGATATGGCATATAGAAGCAAACCGGATGGACATCATGAAAATGATCGGAGAGGTTGAGGGTAGAGGAAGTTCAGGAGTAAAAACAAACAAAATATAATTATTGTAAAATTGACTGTGTCCATAAAATGTATATGGTATGTATAAGCTGGAAGTAGAGGCCTAAGCATTGTTGTTCACTAGTTTACTCCAATTAGGGAAAGGGTGGTGGGGTTGGAAAGTAATAAAGGGAAATATATTTTTTTAAAGGATATGTATATGTGTATGTATGTATGTGTGTATATACACTGCTCAAAAAAATAAAGGGAACACTTAAACAACACAATGTAACTCCAAGTCAATCACACTTCTGTGAAATCAAACTGTCCACTTAGGAAGCAACACTGATTGACAATAAATTTCACATGCTGTTGTGCAAATGGAATAGACAACAGGTGGAAATTATAGGCAATTAGCAAGACACCCCCAATAAAGGAGTGGTTCTGCAGGTGGTGACCACAGACCACTTCTCAGTTCCTATGCTTCCTGGCTGATGTTTTGGTCACTTTTGAATGCTGGCGGTGCTTTCACTCTAGTGGTAGCATGAGACGGAGTCTACAACCCACACAAGTGGCTCAGGTAGTGCAGCTCACCCAATATGGCACATCAATGCGAGCTGTGGCAAGAAGGTTTGCTGTGTCTGTCAGCGTAGTGTCCAGAGCATGGAGGCGCTACCAGGAGACAGGCCAGTACATCAGGAGACGTGGAGGAGGCCGTAGGAGGGCAACAACCCAGCAGCAGGACCGCTACCTCCGCCTTTGTGCAAGGAGGAGCAGGAGGAGCACTGCCAGTGCCCTGCAAAATGACCTCCAGCAGGCCACAAATGTGCATGTGTCTGCTCAAACGGTCAGAAACAGACTCCATGAGGGTGGTATGAGGGCCCGACGTCCACAGGTGGGGGTTGTGCTTACAGCCCAACACCGTGCAGGACGTTTGGCATTTGCCAAAGAACACCAAGATTGGCAAATTCGCCACTGGCGCCTTGTGCTCTTCACAGATGAAAGCAGGTTCACACTGAGCACATGTGACAGACGTGACAGAGTCTGGAGACGCCGTGGAGAACGTTCTGCTGCCTGCAACATCCTCCAGCATGACCGGTTTGGCGGTGGGTCAGTCATGGTGTGGGGTGGCATTTCTTTGGGGGGGCCGCACAGCCCTCCATGTGCTCGCCAGAGGTAGCCTGACTGCCATTAGGTACCGAGATGAGATCCTCAGACCCCTTGTGAGACCATATGCTGGTGCGGTTGGCCCTGGGTTCCTCCTAATGCAAGACAATGCTAGACCTCATGTGGCTGGAGTGTGTCAGCAGTTCCTGCAAGAGGAAGGCATTGATGCTATGGACTGGCCCGCCCGTTCCCCAGACCTGAATCCAATTGAGCACATCTGGGACATCATGTCTCGCTCCATCCACCAACGCCACGTTGCACCACAGACTGTCCAGGAGTTGGCGGATGCTTTAGTCCAGGTCTGGGTGGAGATCCCTCAGGAGACCATCCGACACCTCATCAGGAGCATGCCCAGGCATTGTAGGGAGGTCATACAGGCACGTGGAGGCCACAAACACACACTGAGCCTCATTTTGACTTGTTTTAAGGACATTACATCCAAGTTGGATCAGCCTGTAGTGTGGTATTCCACTTTAATTTTGAGTGTGACTCCAAATCCAGACCTCCATTTGTTGATACATTTGATTTCCATTGATAGTTTTTGTGTGATTTTGTTGTCAGCACATTCAACTATGTAAAGAAAAAAGTATTTAATAAGATTATTTCATTCATTCAGATCTAGGATGTGTTATTTTAGTGTTCCCTTTATTTGAGCAGTGTATATATATATATATAGTGGGGAAAAAAAGTATTTAGTCAGCCACCAATTGTGCAAGTTCTCCCACTTAAAAAGATGAGAGAGGCCTGTAATTTTCATCATAGGTACACGTCAACTATGACAGACAAAAATAGAATTTTTTCTTTGTCCTCCAAACATGACGAGTTGAGTTTTTACCAAAAAAGTTATATTTTGGTTTCATCTGACCATATGACATTCTCCCAATCCTCTTCTGGATCATCCAAATGCACTCTAGCAAACTTCAGGCGGGCCTGGACATGTACTGGCTTAAGCAGGGGGACACGTCTGCACTGCAGGATTTGAGTCCCTGGCGGCGTAGTGTGTTACTGATGGTAGGCTTTGTTACTTTGGTCGCAGCTCTCTGCAGGTCATTCACTAGGTCCCCCCGTGTGGTTCTGGGATTTTTGCTCACCGTTCTTGTGATCATTTTGACCCCACGGGGTGAGATCTTGCTTGGAGCCCCAGATCGAGGGAGATTATCAGTGGTCTTGTATGTCTTCCATTTCCTAATAATTGCTCCCACAGTTGATTTCTTCAAACCAAGCTGCTTACCTATTGCAGATTCAGTCTTCCCAGCCTGGTGCAGGTCTACAATTTTGTTTCTGGTGTCCTTTGACAGCTCTTTGGTCTTGGCCATAGTGGAGTTTGGAGTGTGACTGTTTGAGGTTGTGGACAGGTGTCTTTTATACTGATAACAAGTTCAAACAGGTGCCATTAATACAGGTAACGAGTGGAGGACAGAGGAGCCTCTTAATGAAGAGAGAGCCAGAAATCTTGCTTGTTTGTAGGTGACCAAATACTTATTTTCCACCATAATTTGCAAATAAATTCATTAAAAATCCTACAATGTGATTTTCTGGATTTTTTTCCTCAATTTGTCTGTCATAGTTGACGTGTACCTATGATGAAAATTACAGGCCTCTCTCATCTTTTTAAGTGGGAGAACATGCACAATTGGTGGCTGACTAAATACTTTTTTTCCCCACTGTATATATATATATATATATGCGAGAAGAAAAAAAACATATGGGGGATTGGAAGTGATGCAGACAATTACGTTGATGGAAGTTACAATCTATCTGCAATATTAAATCTACCCCCTGAAAAATGAAAAATAAAATATAAATAAAAAGTTTATCTTTAATTTACAATCTGTAGAAACTATGAGAATAGAAAGGTTCAGAACTTTTGTGAAATATTACAGCACAGTTGAAAAATATATGGTAAATAGAAATCCCATATGGATGGTGTTAAGAGATAGTTGGGAGGGGTTGAACAGAGCTGAAGTGTGTAAAATGTATATAGGTTCAGAACTTTTGTGAAACAGCACAGTTCAAAATATATTGCAAATAGAAATGAAACTGGATGGACATCAGAAATTGATGGAAGAGGTTGATGGTAGAGGAAGGACAGGACTAAAAACAAACAAAATATAACTATTGTAAAATAGATTGTGTCCGTAAAATGTATATAGTATGTATAAGCTGGAAGTAGAAGCCTAAGTGTTGTTGTACATTAGTTTATTCCAAATATATTGATAAAAGTCACCTTGTCCAAGAGAGATTTACATGGTTTTTTATTTGGCTTTTCATTATTTGACAGTTAAAGGGCATAAAACAACAACAGACCCTATACTACACCCCCCCCCCCCCCCCCCCCCCCCCCCCCCCCCCAACCACCACCACCACCCTCAGTCCCATGCTACAACACCAACCCCCAATTACATTTTTATATTTTAGTAATTTAGAAATCTATAATTTCTCTTTCCTCCCCAGACCTCCCGACCGTCACCCTCTCCGCAGTGCCCTTGCCCTCCCGCGACTCTTTGCTCACCCTCTCCTGCGACATCGAGGGCTTCTATCCGGAGGACGTCTCCGTGTCCTGGCTACAGAATGGCACAGAGCTCCCCGCACCTCTGCTGAGCAAGGCGGGCCCGGACGGCACCTTCAGAACCAGGCGCTACTACACCCTGAGCCCCGAGCAGAGGGAGCTGGCCGGGGAGGTGGAGTGTGTCGTCCATCAGCCCAGCGTCACTGAACCTGTGGTCACCTCCTTAGACCTGGCCGAGATCGACCCCATCATAGGTAACAGAGAGTTGAGAGGGGATAGGGAGGGAGAGAGAGAGAGAGAGGGGAGGGGAGGGGAAGGGAGGGACAGAGAGAGTTCACAAATCCAACAAATCCCAACATTGGGTTTGATAAAATTCTTAGCTGGGTTTCCAACATAACCCCCTCTTAGAAACAACAGAGGGTGATAAGTAGCCCAGAGGTTAGAGAGATAGCCCAGTAACCAAAATGATTACTTGATGAAAAAGTGTGGACTGAATTGGCCACTGGAGGGCTTCTGGTGTCAGATCAGTACTACCAATACTGTTGTGCCCTTGGTCAAGGCACTTAACCCCAAAACTAGCTCTCCATTCAGGGGCGCTGCACACGGCTGACCCTGTGCCTTTCAACATATGTGTGTGTTTCTGAGGTTGGGGGGAAAAGGCAGAGAACGAATTTATGTCCTTACCAAATTGACAATAAAGTATCTATTCTATTCAGCATGGCCTCAAACATATTCTACCCTCCTCACTTGTGTGTCTCCTCTCCCAGAGACAGAAACTGTGCTGACCAAGTCTGCCAAGGCATCTGTGGCTCTGATGTGCATCTCTCTGGTGCTGGTCTTTCTGCTCTGCTTTGGCTTCTCCTGGAGAAGGAGTGATGGTGAGTAGGACAGACTTTATTATTTCACTTTATTAATAATATACATCGTATTTAAATGTCCATATAATTCCATATTTATATCTGAATAATAAATATAAATACAGTATATAATGAATGAAAATTGTATATACAGTATATTATACTATATAGATTGGCTGGTGCAGCATATATAAAAACCTTGTAAAACTGACTATCCTACCGATCTTTGACTTTGGCGATGTCATTTACAAAATAGCCTCCAACACTCTGCTCAGCAAATTGGATGTAGTCTATCACAGTGCCATCCGTTTTGTCACCAAAGCCCCATATACTACGCACCACTGTGACCTGTACGCTCTTGTTGGCTAGTCCTCACTACATATTCGTCGCCAAACCCACTGGCTCCAGCCCATCTATAAATCACTGCTAAGCAAATCTCCACTTTATCTTAGCTCATTGGTCACCATAGCTACACCCACCCGTAGTATGCGCTCCAGCAGGTATATCTCACTGGTCATCCCCAAAGCCAACACCTCCTTTGGCGGCCAGTCCTTCCAGTTCTCTGCTGCCAATGACTGGAACGAATTGCAAAAATCTCTGAAGCTGGAGACTCTTATCTCCCTCACTAACTTTAAGCATCAGTTGTCAGAGCACCTTACCGATCACTGCACCTGTACACAGCCCATCTGAAATTATCCCACCCAACTACCTCATCCCCATATTGTTATTTATTTTGCTCTTTTGCACCCCAGTATCTCTATTTGCACATCATCTCTTGCACATCTATCATTCCAGTGTTAATACTAATAGTAATTATTTTGCACTATGGCCTATTTATTGCCTTACCTCCATAACTTGCTACATTTGCACACACTGTATATATATTTCTGTTGTATTTTTGACTTTATCTTTTGTTTTACCCCATATGTAACTCTGTGTTGTTGTTTTTATCGCACTGCTTTGCTTTATCTTGGTTAAATAAAGGTGAAAAAAAAAAATATATATATATATATATAATATATACAGTGGTGAGAACAAGTATTTGATACACTGCCGATTTTGCAGGTTTTCCTACTTACAAAGCATGTAGAGGTCTGCAATTTGTATCATAGGTACACTTCAACTGTGAGAGACGTAATCTAAAACAAAAATCCAGAAAATTACATTCTATGATTTTTAAGTAATTAATTTGCATTTTATTGCATGACATAAGTATTTGATACATCAGAAAAGCAGAACTTAATATTTGGTACAGAAACCTTTGTTTGCCATTACAGAGATCATACGTTTCCTGTAGGTCTTGACCAGGTTTGCACACACTGCAGAAGGGATTTTGGCCCACACCTCCATACAGACCTTCTCCAGATCCTTCAGGTTTCGGGGCTTTTGCTGGGCAATACGGACTTTCAGCTACCTCCAAAGATTTTCTATTGGGTTCAGGTCTGGAGACTGGCTAGGCCACTCCAGAATCTTGAGATGCTTCTTACGGAGCCACTCCTTAATTGCCCTGGCTGTGTGTTTCGGGTCATTGTCATGCTGGAAGACCCAGCCACGACCCATCTTCAATGCTCTTACTGAGGGAAGGAGGTTGTTGGCCAAGATCTCGCGATACATGGCCCCATCCATCCTCCCCTCAATACGGTGCAGTCGTCCTGTCCCCTTTGCAGAAAAGCATCCCCAAAGAATGATGTTTCCACCTCCATGCTTCACGGTTGGGATGGTGTTCTTGGGGTTGTACTTATCCTTCTTCTTCCTCCAAACACGGCGAGTGGAGTTTAGACCAAAAAGCTATATTTTTGTCTCATCAGACCACATGACTTTCTCCCATTGCTCCTCTGGATCATCCAGATGGTCACTGGCAAACTTCAGACGGGCCTGGACATGCGCTGGCTTGAGCAGGGGGACCTTGCGTGTGCTGCAGGATTTTAATCCATGCCGGCGTAGTGTGTTACTAATGGTTTTCTTTGAGACTGTGGTCCCAGCTCTCTTCATGTCATTGACCAGCTCCTGCCGTGTAGTTATGGGCTGATCCCTCACCTTCCTCATGATTGACCGTCATCTTGAACTTCTTCCATTTTCTAATAATTGCGCCAACAGTTGTTGCCTTCTCACCAAGCTGCTTGCCTATTGTCCTGTAGCCCATCCCAGCCTTGTGCAGGTCTACAATTTTATCCCTGATGTCCTTACACAGCTCTCTGGTCTTGGCCATTGTGGAGAGGTTGGAGTCTGTTTGATTGAGTGTGTGGACAGGTGTCTTTTATACAGGTAACGAGTTCAAACAGATGCAGTTAATACAGGTAATGAGTGGAGAACAGGAGGGCTTCTTAAAGAAAAACTAACAGGTCTGTGAGAGCCGGAATTCTTACTGGTTGGTAGGTGATCAAATACTTATGTCATGCAATAAAATGCAAATTAATTACTTAAAAATCATATAATGTGATTTTCTGGATTTTTGTTTTAGATTCAGTCTCTCACAGTTGAAGTGTACCTATGATAAAAAATTACAGACCTCTACATGCTTTGTAAGTAGGAAAACCTGCAAAATCGGCAGTGTATCAAATACTTGCAAATATGTCATTTGAGATGGGCTGGTCCTACATATAGGGTCGGTTTCCCGGAAACAGATTAAGCCTAGTCCTGGACTAAAAAGCATGTTCAATGGAAATCCATTGAAATAGGTTTTTAGTGCAGGACCAGGCTTAATATGTGTCCGGGAAACTGGCCCATATTATATATAACACTTTTATTGAGATAGGTTGAGATTTATAGATACAGTGGGGTTCGAAATTATTGACACCCTTGATAAAGATAAGCAAAAAAGACTGTATAAAATAAGTAATACAAATACTGAGCTAAATTGTATGCTAAAAGAAACTGGAAAATTAAATTATATTATGCTAATACAATTGCTCAGAGAAAGAGATTTTAACAAGTAATACTTTTTTTCTCAAAAAGATAGGGGTCAAAATTATTGGCACCCCAGTTTTCAATACCTTTCAATACCTCACCTTGTGAGGTTAACGGCACTGAGCCTCTTTCTAAAAAAAATATGAGATTGGAGAACACATTGGGAGGGATCTTAGTCCATTCATCCATACAGAATATTTCCAGATCCTTGATATCCTTCGTCTGCACTTATGGACTACCCTCTTCAATTCAAACCACAGGTTTTCAATGGGCTTTAAGTCCGGAGGCAGAGATGGCCATTGAAAAATGTTTCTTTTGTGGTCAATTTACCATTTCTTTGTGGATTTGGATGTGTGCTTGGGGTTATTGTCTTGCTAAAAGATCCACTTGCGGCTAAGTTTCAGCCTCCTGGCAGAAGCAACCAGGTTTTTAGCTAAAATGTCCTGATACTGGGTAAATGGGTTCATGATGCTGTTGACCTTAAAGGATAAGTTCTTTTTTAGATGTAAATGGCATGTTATAGAAAGGTCCAGACACCTTTTTTGTGACTTCACTTGTTTTTGAGAAACTTACCCCAAACTGCAAATCACTTCCTCATCCTCATTGTGTAGTATGGGTGCCCTGAAAAAACATGAACAAAGGCGCCAAAAAGACCCAAATACGTCCTTTTAGAAACGGCAAAGCTGTCATTATAGTGATGCAGGTCTTTAGATGTTGTACACATGAAATTGTGTCATTCCGAACTTTATCCGCAACGTCATATTCCCTTTTGTGCAACTAGAGCCGTTTCCCCTATCCAGCTGTTCCATTCTCTGTATAGCCTGCTGCTATAGGTAACTGCCAAAATAAAGGAAACACCAACATAAAGTGTCTTAATAGGGCGTTAAGCCACCATGAGCTGCTAGAACAGCATCAATTCTCCTTGGCATAGATTCTACAAGTGTCTGTAACTTATTGTGTGGAAGCACTCCATGCTTTCAATATGTGTTTCCTTTATTTTGGCAGTTACCTGTAGAATGAAGGGAGAGGTTTCGCTCAAGTCGCAACAAAATGGAATATAACGCTGCGGATAAAGTTCGGAATTACACAATAAATTAAAAAATGTACGATTTTATTTGATCTTTTATAAACAATAAAATACATACACATACAAATAACAACATCAACTACATCAAACCTGCCCAGACCCACTAGCACACACACCATCGCCAGCACCCGCATCATTTTATTCCACATGGCCTGAAACTGCACCATTTTGTTTCTCTCCGTATCGTACACACTTTCAATATTTAAATAATAAATCATTTTATTTTTCTATTGTGTTAATGATGGCGGATTGATTGATTTCCAAGTTTTTAGTATACGTTTTTTCAAGATAAGTGATGAGAAGAGAATCGTCCAACCCATTGGGTATCTCACTACACCCAATATGCCACGTCTTGAAATATGCAGACAGACAGATTAAAAGTAAGTTTACATTGTAATACTTCTGACAGCCAATTTTCTAACTCGGCCCACAATTTCTGGACGTTATAGGATTTCCAGAAAGCATGTGTTATTGAGTCATTATTAGTTTTACACTTAAGACATGACTCTGCCGTTGTGCTGTAGAATTTGGGAATTTTGTCTCCTGTATAATACATTCTTGGATATGATCTCTGCAAGGTATTGTATATCTTCCCTATCATATGAACATCCTTTTCTGACTAAAATAGGATTCCCTCAAGGTTGCTTTGATTTCCAAAATATTTCAAATCGAAATGTAGTTACAGTATATCTAACTTTTAAGTTGCATGTATTTTAAACCATCACATTGGTCAGTCCAAAATTACTTCTTAATTCTGTTATGGAAATAAATGTGTTTCCTATTACCTAATTTACGGTCTCTATGCCTTTAGTTTCCATGTGGACCAATTTATCGGTGAATTCTGAAAAGCTATCCAAGGATTGTTTTTTAAGATTGTTTTTAGGAAGTGATATTTGTTTTTGTACTGTTCTTACCTATGTTTATGTTCTTAGCTTTATCCTTTGAAAATAGACATGTAAAAATATTCTGGGGATTAGCATGAGCGTCTTCAATATGTAACCATTGCTCCTCTTTAGTGCATTTATA